TGGAGGGTCGACGAAAGAGGGGGAGGCCTTCAACGAGATGGATTGGCACAGTGGCTGCGATGATGGGCTCAAGTATAGCAGGGATTGTGGGGCTGGCATGGGATCGGGCAGTGTTTCGTTCTGCTGTGCACGGGGTCGCTATGAGTCGGAAACGACTCGACGGCACTTAACAACAACAACAATTGTCACTAGTATGTGAACTAGAGTTAGCAGGGCTCGAACATCAGATATTTTACCTCAAATGTGAATCTGCTCATGTCACTTTTATTTCCTCCACCACGCCATGTTCCAGTCACACAAAAATGCTTTTCATTCCTGAACACTGCCACATCCTATTCAGTAACCAGTTGCTGTCAAGTCTACTTCAATTCATGGTGACCCCATGAGTGTCAGAGCACAACTGTGCTCCACAGGGTTTTCAATGTCTGATTGTTTAGAAGTAGATTGCCAGGGCTTTCTTCCAAAGCACCTCACAGTGGGTGCAAACCTTCAACTTCTTCATTAGCAGTTGAGTGCATTAAGTTTTAACTTTCCAGGGACTCCCTATCATCTCTAGTGTACACTGTTTTTTCTATTTTCTACACACTTGCTGCCTGACATGCCCTCTTCCACCAGTGCCTAACTACTTACTACTCATCCTTCTGGACCCAGCTTATACAACACCTCCTCTGGATGGGCTTCCTACTTTATTTTCTCCTGGTACCTCTCACCCCTCACCATCCACTATTAGAATTACTTGTTCAGTTGTTTTTCTTCCCATAAGATAATAAGCTACATAAAAATAGGAACTATCCTTATTCATCTGTATGTCCCTAGCCCTGACCAATGGGTTCTCAGGAAAGAGCTGTGGAAAAAAGAAGGAAGGAAAGGAGAGAAAGGGAGGAAGGAAAAAACAGGTGACATTTCATCTGCCTTGATATTAGGCTCTTTTAAGAACAACTTATATGGGATCATCATCAACATTCTTTAAGGATATGGAAAAACCAATCAGTAATTTTATATGGAAAGGCAAGAGACCTCAGATAAACAAAGCACTATTGAAGAAGAACAACAAAGTAGGAGGTCTCACAGTCACAGATCTCAAAACCTACTATACAGCCACAGTAGTCAAACAGCCTGGTATTGGTACAACGACAGACACAAAGACCAGTGGAACAGAATTGAGAACCCAGAAATAGATTCATTGACCTATGGTCAGCTGATTTTTGACAAAGAGCTGAAATCCATTACATGAGGAAAAGATGGTCTCTTTAATAAATGGTGCTGGCAAAACTAGATATCCATTTGAAGAAAAATGAAACAAGATTTGTACCTCACACCATACACAAATACTAACTCCAGATGGATCAAAGACTTAAATGTGAAACCTAAAACTATGAAGTTCCTCAAGGAAAAAAATAGGGGCAAATTTAGGGACCCTGGTGGTTCAAACCCACCAGCCACTCCTCAGAAGGAAGGTTGGGCAATCTACTTCCATAGTAATACTGCCTCAGAAACCCAAGGAGGGGTCACTATGAGTCAGATCTGACTTGATAAAACGAACGTCAAGCATAACCCAAAATGCACAAACAGCAAAAGATAAAGTAGATGAATGAGATCTTCTAAAAATTAAATTTTTATATGCTTCCAAAGACTTCTCCAGAAGAGTAAAAAGAGAACCTACAGATTGGGAAAAAATATTTGACAATAACATATCTGACAAGGGACTTATCTCTGAAATTTATAGAAAACTCCAACACTTCAACAACAAAAGACAAACAATACAATTAAAAAATGGGCAGAAGACATGAATAGACACTTCATCAAAGAGGATATTCAGGTGGCCAACAAAGACATGAAGAAATGTTCATGATCATTAGCCATTAGAGAGACACAAATCAAAACAACAAGATACCATCTGGCCCCAACACTAATAGCAAAGTTCAACTACACAGAAAATAAATGCTGGTGAGGATATGGAGAGATTGGGACTCTCATACACTGCTGGTGGGACTGTAAAATGATACAACCACTGTGGAAAGCAGTATAGCAATTCCTTAAAAAGTTGGAATTAGAAATACCATTTGACCCAGCAATCCCATTACTAGGTATATATCCTATAGAAGTGAGAACCAGGACAAGAAGAGATGCATGCACACCCATGTTCATCTCAGCACTATTTACAATAGCAAAAGGATGGAAACAACCTAGGTGCCCATCAACAGAAGAATGGATAACCAAACTATGGTACATACACAGAATGAAATACTATGCAACCCTAAAAATAATGTAGAATCTGCCTAACAGTGCATAATGTGGATGAACTTGGAAGACATTATGCTGAGTGAAATAAGTCAATCACAGGACAAATATTCTATTAGTTCACTATTGTAAAAATTCAAGGAAAGGTTTATTTTTTAGAAGGAAACTTTCTTTGTTGATCACCAGGGGTGGGAGGGAAGGTGAGGAAACACTGCAAAAATTAAAATAAATAAATAAAAGATTTTTTTTTAAAGGACCACAGTAAAAAAAAAAAAAAAAAAAAAGTTTAAATGTATATATACAAATAAAATGATCTATGAATAAACACTCCAAGATATACATAATATTTATCACTTAAAAAAAAAAGTTGTTGTTGTTATGTGCTGTCGAGTTGGACCTGACTCATAGCGACCCCTCCTAGGGTTTCTGAGGCAGTATCACTACGGAAGTAGATGGCCCCATCTTCCTTCTGAGGAAAAACACCACTTATATGGGATAAAAATGACAAAAGCAGTTCAAAGGATTAGATTGGAACCTTACAGGGCAGACAGTTTATGTTAGTGGAGAAAGAGCAACCCAGAAAAGAAGGTTGAGAATGGATGCACAACTCAGAGCATGTAATCAATGTCACTGGGTTGTACATGTAGAAACTGTGAATTGGTGTTATGTTTTTCTGTATATATCCTCTACCACAACAATGAAAGTAACAAAATTTTTGTTAAAAAAGGTAATATTTCAGTGAGATTAGTGTACTCAAAGGCACAAAGTTGAATAGAAAAAAAAAATGTTTTAACTCTACTTAAGAAAATAGCTGTACAAAAGAGACATCCAAGATTTTAAATGTTAAGCTAGGAAGGTCCTGTTGCCCACTGCATCAATTTCGACTCATAGCAACTCTATAGAACAGAGTAGAACTGCCCCCACAGGGCTTCCAAAGCTGTACACCTTTCACATAAGCAGACTTTCACATCTTTCTCCTGTAGAGTAACTGGTGGCTTCAAATTGCCAATCTTTTGGTTAACAACCAAATGCCTAACCACTGCACTGTCAGGGCTCTTTTGATGGACTCTCTTCCTTTGATGGGCTCCCTACTCTGACCTTTATGTTCCCATTTTGTTCATACTTTTGAAAGACTGCCTTCTAAATTATCTCGGCATGTCTCCAAAAGTTCCTCCAAGGCTTAGAAATTAAGGTCCCTTTATTCCTTCACAATTCAAAGTACACAGCAGATGGTCAATGAATGAGTGAGTTTTACCAACTCAAATATTTGTGGAAAGAGTTATTATAGAAACTAACAAATCTGTTAGCTGACAACAGTGAAGGGTGTGGGCAGTGGAGGCAGCCTGCCAGGCTTCAAATTCCTCCTCTATCTCCTACTCGCTATGTCATCTTGAACAAGTTACTTAACCTATCTATTAGTTTTCTCATCTATAAAATGCAGACAATAATATTACTGAGCTCATTGGTTTATTGTGAGGATTAACGATCTCTTTGGTACTAAACTGAATCTATTCTTTCTAGTCATTATCTTAAGGACTTAATTGAAATCAAATAATAATGTAACTGGAATTTAAAAATTAATGGTTCAATTAGTTGTTTACCCATTTCCCTCACAAGAATGTAAGCTTCAGAAAGGCAGGGACTTTAATTTATCCTGTTCATTTTTGGATCTCCCGATTCTAGAGGCCCCTTGAACATGATAAAGTTTACAATGAGTGTTGGTTGAATGCATCTTGTGCTATTCATGGCACATTCCACTTTCCCCAACAAAGAACATTTTACACTTTTTTCATGTCTGTTCCCTTATCTGTAGCCACTGAAAGCTTGGTTAGAGCAGAACTGGTGCACTTGGTATTCCTACCACTAGCACAGGATCTGGGATAGAGCTACAGAAAAATAAATAAAAAATACTGACTTTTAATATTGATTGAATGACTGAAAGGGGAATAAGAAGAAGGAAGAGTAACATACAATTTCTTATTTCTCAGTTTTGCCAAAAGTCAGGAGATGTGACTGAATAACTCACAGCTATCAAGTCAATTCCAACTCACAGTAGCCCTAAAGGATAGAGTAGAGCTGCTCCATAGGGTTTCCAAGGCTGTAAATCTACGGAAGCAATCTGCCTCATCTTTCTCTGATGGAGTGGCTGGTGGGTTCAAAACTCCGACCTTTAGTTAGCAGCTGAGTGCTTTAACCATGCTGCCACTAGAGCTCCTATGACCGAACAGTTGACCCAAAACAATGAATAATTATTTCATTAAAGAATAGATCCCATTCATTATCACTGAATTATTATATAGACTTCATTTTTATTTCCTTTTTAATTACCTTGGCCTCTCCACTTACTAATAAACATCTCCAGGTAGGTTTCCTCAATTTAATGAAGACAAAGAAATAAATAGTATAGATACCTGGCTTTTCCTGTATCCAATCAGACAACCATTTTAAATGGCAATCACAGATCCATGGGTTTCCGTGAAGATAAAGGCTTTCCAGGCCAGGCATATAGGAGACCACCTCTTGAGGGAGGGAGGTCAAGAAGTTATCAGACAAGTACAAGTACTTAATGAAAGATATTTTAAATATCTGGAGGTAGCGCAAAGAGACAAATGTATCTGGATGGAGCTTAGTCAGCTGATTTCCTTCCAAATGTACCAATCGGAGAAAGGTGAGTCCATAAAAAACCTCTGGGTTTATAAACTCAATATTGTTGTGGTCCATATGCAACCGTGTCAAGCTCCTGAGGCCATAAAAAGTATCCTTCTGAAGTTTTTGGACTTTGTTATAGCTCATTTTTAAGACCTAAGAAAGAAAAGAAGCATACATTTATGTTGTCAAAAGTATTTTCACAAAAGGAAAGTGTATCAACACTAAAATATATGTTGAGATAACCCACTGCAATGTCTGGTCCTTGTTTGCATCCTAATGCAAACAAATTAGTTGCAAAAGTAACATAATATCAGGGAAATTAGAACACCCATGAACATTTCATGTTATTAAGGAATTGTTAATTTTTTAAGATATAATAATGGTATTGTGCTTATTTTAAAAAGATTTCTTTGAGATGTATGTGGAAGTAGTTACAGATGAAACATTATGAAATCTTGGACTCATTTCAAAACAATCTAGTGCAGTGCAAAAGTGGTAGGTGGGGGTACAGATAAGATGAGGTCTGCCATGTGTTGATAACTATTAAAACCAGATGATGATACATTCTGTTCATTAAACTATTCTCCCTACTTTTGTAGGTGGTTGAAAATTTCCACAGCAAAAGTATTTTAAGTATCTTAATATTTCAAGTAAATGTAAGACTTCTCAAGTCTGTTGATAAAAAGGACTACATGTTTATTTTATTTTTTCATATTCATAAAAGCTTTATTGAGACATAACTTACATGCCATAAAAATTGGCCTTTTAAAGTTCACAATTCAGTGGGTTTTAGTATATTCACATTGTGGAGCAATTATCAATTCTATCTACTTTTAGAAAATTTTCATCAACCCAAAATAAGAGCAAACAGCAAACACAACACACTGCCATGGGGTCAGACCCGACTCATAGTGACCCCTCCTTGGGTTTCTGAGGAGGTATCATTACAGAAGTAGATTGCCCAAACTTCCTTCTGATCCAAAATAACTGGCAGTCAGTCCCCGCTTCTGCTAGCCCTAGTCAACCACAAATCTACTTTCTGTTTCCATGGATTCTTCTATTCCACATATTTCATTTAAATGGAATAATACAGTATGTAGTCTTTTGTGCCTGGATTATTTCACTCAACATAATATTTTCAAGATCTATTGCTGTTGTAGCAAATATCCATATATCTTCCTTTTTATTGTTGAATACTATTCCATTATATGGATATACCACATTTTGTTTATCCATTCATCAATGATGTACATTTGTGCTGTTACCACTTTTTAGCTATTTTAAGTAATGTGCTTTCAATCGATTATGGATTGAGATTATAATAATTTTTGAGTATTTAAATAATGCTTGGTTACTTTCCAATTCCTTCTCCAGTTACTAATCCAACATACCCTTTTCCCAAAAACAAACACAATTTAAAACAGTGATTTCTCATCATAACTATATTTTTAATGTTTCATTGTGATTTGGGTGAAGGTTTACAGAGAAAATAAGTTTTCCATTTAACAGTACATACACATTCTGTTTCACTGTAACATGTAACATCACCCATTCTGCTTCCCTATGTTTCCCATTTCCATTTCTCCTTCTTTCCTTTCCCCTTCCTTCTGAACTTTGTCTTCAGGAAAATGTTGTCCTTTTGATCTCAAAGGGCTGATTGTTCTAAGGAATGCATACATCCTTGGCATTATTGTTCACCTTATCTATCTGTCTCTTGTTTGGCTGAAAGCTGACCCACTGGGGTGAGTTCAGTTCCCGGCTTGAAGGGTGACTGAGGGCCATAGTCCTGAGGGTTTCACCAGTTTCTATCCAACCAATGAGCCTGGACTTTTAACTAGGGAATGAATGATTCATGACTTACATATTTTAATTGAGAAATATACTACTGGTCAGCCTTGAGTGAAAAAAAACAAATTTTTGGTTGCCAATTCTTTTCTTTCAAAATTTTATATATGTCATCCTATTGCCTTCTTCCCTGCATGGTTTCAGACAAGAAATCAGTGTTTGGTTTTATTTATGCCCCATTTGTAATGATATTCAGCTTTTTACAACCTACTCTCAAGATTCTTTGTCTTTGGTTTTAGAAAGTTTGATTATGCTATGTCTTGGTGAATTTCTTTTGGGGTCTATCCTGTATAGTGTTTGTTGAGTCTTTTGGATAGAAACTTTCTTGTCTTTCATATTTTGGAAGTCTTCTGCCAATATATGTTCAAAAGGTCCCTCTGTACTTTTCACCTTCTCCACTTCTGGAATTTCTAGTATGCATAAATTATTCCTCTTTATGTGTCCCACATAGCTCTTAGGTTTTCTTCAATCTTTTATTTTTTATTGTTCCTAAAGCAAAATAATATGAAGGGATTTGTCCTTTATTTACTGATTCTTCCATTGAGCTGATTCTATTTCTGTGTCCTTTTGTTATCTATTTTGGGCATTTTATTGTTAAGCTTCTGAATTTCTAGTTGTTTTTGTATGGATTCTATTTGACTACTGAATTTGTCATTTTGTTCTTTTATTGTTTTTCTTAATTCTTCTACTTTTTTTTTTCACTGTGTTTTCTTGACCTCTTTGAGGAGCCTAAGTATAAGTCTTTTGAATTCCTTATCAAGCAGTTCTATTAGCAGTTCTTCCTCTTATTCTGTTTCTTCATACAATTTGTTATAGTCTGCTATCTTTGAGGCATTAAGATATTATTCTATTTACTTATTTAATTTTTTACTGATTTTATTGTCCTATTTTTTTTTTCCTTTATCACAATATCAGGAGCTTTGTTTCTTCTCTTTCTCTTTAGAATGTCTTTCTTTCTTTGAATTATTTTAATTGTTGTTTTGTGGTACTGGTCTCTGTTTAACTTTGGTGGTGTTGGTTGGCTCTCATTAGTGGGTATGGTGGGTTATGTCCATGTGTGAGTCTTCTTTGGTTAGGCTTGTCTTCTCTTTTAGGATTAAGTGGAGGTATAAGAACAGGTCCTTTTCCTAATGTGAGGTGGCAAGTATTGGGTGATTGGGGTCCCTCTATAGCTCCTGTTGGACCATGTGGTCCTTCTGGTTTGGAGCTAGCAGTTATACATCCACAGGAGAGGAGGGCAGAATATCTTCTATGCCACTGGGAGGAAGTGCTACCCAAAAGGACAGCATAGGACCTCTGTGCATGCGTGAATTTGCATCTCACTAGGTGATGGGGAATCAAGGGGTGTCAGAACATGTGCAGTCAGTCTGTAGGAACTGTCCTGATGTGGTATGTGTGACATTGCAGATAGGTGGTTGTTGATTGAGGACTCTGGGATCTGCTGTCTGTCACTGGGTAGAAGCATGGATGGCATCTGTCAATATGTGCCAGGCAACTGGTGATGAGGTGATGTGCTTGCTTGTCCAATCACCAAGCATGACTTGTGTGTATGGGGAGGAGTGCTACCTGGACTCTGGCTGAGTGAGAGACCTCTAGTTATTGCTCTATGGATCCTCTATTCTGTGAGAGTCTCCTGTTCCAATGGTCAGGCACACCACTGGTGATTAGTTCTGTCACTAGTTCCTGGCTCCCTCCTTGCTCTGTGTCACCAGGATAGATCTTGCCCAATTTTTTGCACTTTCCCTGCTTGTATCCTGTCCATGTCCTGCACACCTTCCTTCTCTCTGGGATTATCTATACAGTATCTCTGTCTCCTATTGGGAATTTCATGACATTACCTTCCTGAGTTTTTCACCCAGGAAACTGCTTACTTTGTCTCAAGATGGCAACATGGCTGGCTAGCAGGATGCCTATGATCCATAAATCTCATCATTCACTGTTTTCATTCAGTTTCTCCTTCTACTCAGAGTTTGGTGTACTTCTTCATCTTTCCATTTGATGTTCAGGGTTCCGACGTCGTCATGTTGATCTGTTTCACTTGGTTTCTTGAGTTTTTATTATAGGGGAACAAAATGGTGTTTGATTAAGCTGTCATCTTGGGCCAAGCTTTCTCTTTCCTGTCTTTTTAATGAACTTTTGCTGTCTTTTTGCATGATGTCCTTGATATCATCCCACAATTCCTCTGCTCTTTGGTCACTAATGTTCAATATATCAAACCTATTCTTGAGATGGTCTCTAAATGCAGGTGGAATATACTCAAGGTCATACTTTGGCTCTTGTGGACTTGATTTTTTTAAAATTTTATTCAGCTTCAATCTGAATTTGCATATGAGTAACTGATGGTCTGTTCTGCAGTCAGGCCCTAGCCTTCTTCCAACTGATGCCACTGAGATTTTCCATCATCTGTTTGCACAGATGTAGTCAATTTAATTCTTGTGTATTCCCATCAGGTAATTTCCACATGTATAGTCACCATTTATTTTATTGAAAAAAGGCATTTCCAATGAATAGGTTGTTGGTCCTGCAAAATTCTATCCTGTAATACCTGGCATCATTTTTATCGCCAAAGCCTTGTTTTCCATTACTTATGCTTTTCCTTTGTTTCCAATTTTTTTCATTCCAATCACCAGAAATTATCAATGCATCTTGAGTCTATGTTTGATCAATTTCAGGCTGCAGAAGTTGGTAAAAATCTTCAGTTTCATCATAGTTGGCATTAGAGGTTGGTGCATAAATTTGAAAAATAGTCATATTAACTTGTCTTCCTCGTTAGTATATAGATATTATCCTGTCACTGATAGCGTTAGTATATTTTAGTATAGATTTTTAAATGTTATTTTTGACAATGAATGTGATGCTCCTCCTCAATTATTTAAAATGATCAATACCAGTCCATTTCAGCTCACTAATGCCTAGAATATCTGTCTGCAAGCATTCCATTTCATTGTGGACAACTTCCAATTTTCCTACATTTATACTTAGTATATTCCACATTCTGATTAATTATGGTTGTTTGCAGCTGTTTCTTTCTTTTAGAGGCACCTTATCAGCCAATGAATGTCCAGAAAGCTTTACTCCATCTACACCATTAAGGTTGACTTTACTTTGAGGATCTCCAGTAGTATTTTGGGTGCCTCCCAAACTGAAGGGCTCTTCTTCTGGCACTAGAGCAGATAATGTTCCACTACTACTCATAAGTCCTACACTGGCTTTTTTTTTTTTTTTAAATAAGTAGATTGCTGGGTCCTACTTTCTAGTCTATTTTAACCTGGAAGCTCTGCAGAAACCTGTCCACCATAGGTGATCCTACTCGCCTTTGATAACTGGTGGCATAGCTTCTAGCATCACAGTAACATACAAGCCACCACAGTACAACAAACTGACAGATGAGTGGTGGATGAATTGTGTAATTGGCTCTATTTTTCCATTTGAGTTAGTGTCTAGAAAACTTCAAATCCTACCCAAAGCAGACATAAAGTTTTCTATGTATATATTTTTGTATTCCTTTTATTCTTATTACTATACTTATTTTACCTTTTACTTTCTTACCTACTTGTGTGATAGTTCTTGCAACACTGAATGAATTCTTGTAAGTCCCCATAACCTTTTTTCTAAAATTATTAATTTTGAACAAGCCAGAAAACAAATTGAAAATAAAAATGTATTGATTTATTGAAAGGTAATTTTGGTCTAAAAAATTAATTTAAGAGGCACAATTGATTCCAAGGTGAACATGACAAGAAGTTGCTTTCAAATATTTTATTTTAGAGGTTTATTAATGCATGAAAATTAAATTTTTTCTTTTAGCTTGAGGTATGAAAGCATGTCTCTCATGATTTTCCTACTATTCTAATTTCCACATACTATTGCACTAAAAAAATTAAAAATCAGTTTTTGATGTCTTCCCTGGATGTCTACTTCTAATTTTCTGTATCTTTGTTTTTATATTCCATAGGAATGGGCTGCTTTTGCAGGTACATATCACAGGTCTTACTTCACCTCTTTCATCCTCCCCCACCCCTGGTCTCACCTGCAAGGCCTGCAGATCTGAGAAGGTCTTATCAGGAATTGTGTGAATGCCATTGCTGTGCAACATTAGTAGCTCCAACTTGTTCAGGCCAGAAAAATCTGTTTCTTTCAATCTGACCAAACTGTTGTATCTGGAACAAAAATGTCATTCTAGGTGTAAGTATGGCCTGTCAACTAAAGTTCAAATGTCAAACCACATACACACACACCTCTTAGCAGTTCAAACCCACTAGCCACTCCTCAGAAGGAAGGTTGGGCAATATACTTCCGTAGTGATACTGGCTCAGAAACCCAAGGAGGGATTGCTATGAGTTGGATCTGACTCGACGGCAGTGTTTTTTTTCTTTTTTTAAAAGAAGATAATTAGTCTCTCTATGTAGCATAGTGGCTAAGGCACTTGACTGCTAACCAGAAGGCTGGCGGTTCAAACCCACCAGCCACTCCTTGGAAGGAAGGTTGGGCAATCCTACTTCCGTAGTGATACTACCTTGGAAACCCAAGGAGGGGTCGCTATGAGTTGGGGCCGACTCGATGGCAAACAACAACAACAACAACATGTGTGAAATATTATTGAAATTTCAGATGCCACTGAAGCCTGACCTTCTACCCAGACCTTGCAGCTTCAACTACGATCACTCCATTCATTTTCCTGGAATGTGCCACATCCTTTCTCAGGCTGTTGGTGGTTCAAACCCCCAGCCACTCCTCGGAAGGAAGGCTGAGCAATCTTCCTCTGTAGTGATACTGCCTCAGAAACCCAAGGAGGGGTCACTTTGAGTTGGGTCTGACTCGATGACACATAATAACACCAACAACATGTATATACTATTTCTGCAGGTTGGAATTCCCTTGGCCACATCCCTCTCTATTTGTGAACACTATTAAGACCCAACCCATTCCTTTACGATGTTTTTTTTTTCCCCTTCTGCTCATGTTTGTCTTGACTTCCTCACCACTTAGAAGTTCCATAACTACACAATTTATTCCCTCTGTTTGGTTTATAGTTGTCCTCATTTACCAACTGTTGTCTCTTCTGGTTCCCTGTTTACAGTCTTGTAAGCTATTTTACTTTGGTCACTTCTATAACTGGGTTGGTTTGTGGGTTATGTTATCATGTGTGTTAATCATTGGTTTTTGTTTCCTGCTATTGGTTCTTTATCAGAAGGATTCCCTTTAAGATCTTTTGTAAAGTTGGTCTGGTTTTAACAAAATCCTTTAATTTCTGCTTATCTAGAAATCTCCTAATTTCACCCTCATAAATGAGGGACAATTTTGCTGGGTATATAGTTCTTGGTTGGAGATTTTTTTCTTTCAGGTTTTGATATATATCACCCCATTGCCTTCTTGCCTTCATGGTTTCTGCCAAGAAATCAGAGCTTAGTTTTATTTCAAGTACTTTATAGGTAACTTTTCATTTTTCCCATGCTGTTTCAGGATTCTTTCTTTGTCTTTGGTTTTGGAGAAAACAATTATGATATGTCTTGGAGATTTTCTTTTGGGATCTATCCTGTTTAGTTTCATTGAACTTCTTGAATGGCTATATCCTCATCTTTCATCATTATCAAGGAAATTCTCTTCCAACAAATCTTTGACAATTTTCTATGAGGGTTTATCTGTCTCTTCCTGTTCTGGAATCCTGATTACACATAAGTTATTCCTCTTGATAGTATCCCACATGTGTTTTGATCTTTTGTCTGATTGATCCCTTAACAAAGTAGTATTGAGGTATTTGTCTTCAATCTCATTAATTCTGTCTTCCATTGCTTTGATTCTACTCCTTTGCCCCTTCAATGTGTCATCTATTTCTGAAATCTTAGTATTAATCTTCTGGATTTCTATTTGTTGTTTTTGTATCATTTCTAATCTTTTATTTTGTCAATTTGTTCTTGTATTGTTTTTCTAAATTGTTTCTAAGTGTTTTCCTTGATCTCTCAATTGAATGAAGGTACCCAAATATAATTCTTTTGAATTCCTTATCAGGGAGTTCCAATGCTGCTTCTTCCTCAGGGATGTTTTCTGGGTTTATATCCTGGTCCCTTGTTTCTACTACTTTATCTTTCTTCTTTGCTTGGACTGGGATAGTCTGTTGTCTCTGGGACATTGTGGTGGTGTTATATTTAATGTGTGAAAGAGAATGAGGGTGTGTGCACAGATCTCTGTTAGCTATTTGTAAGGAGCAGTTATGGGTGAGCTGAGCTGGTACTGGCTGCTGTTTTTGGTCAGTTGGTGCAAAAGCAAGTGGTGGCTCTCACTTAGTGGGTGGGGCTGCAGGAGTTGTAGTTATGGTTGTTATGGTTAGGTTGTGTTGGAATAGTTGCTGTCTTTCACTCAGAAAAAAATAATAATAATTTAAAATAAATAAAAGCAAGAGAATAAAAATCTCAAACCACATCAAAAATGATTGCAAAAAAAAAAAAAAAA